TTCTTCATTTCCAGTTAATACTTGTACAGCTGCTGTTATTGTGTATATATTTATTTAGATTTCTTCATACATTCTTATATAGTTCTATATTGTGTATTTTGTTGTACAGTTATTTTATTTTCAACTTTAATTTATATATTTTATCTTATTCTTTCCCAGTTAAATTTACCCTTCATTCTAATTTGTGTTGTACAGTTATTTCATTTTTAACCTTAATTTATATTTTATTCCTTCCTAGTTAAATTTACCCTTTTTAATTTTTCATATTTATTTCCTATCTTATTCATAGCCTTTTCCTTTTTTGTTTTCTTTAGGTCACGAGCAGTTGTCCAAGCATTTCACTACATATCGTACTGTGTATGACTGTGTACGTGACAAATAAAAATTTGAATTTGAATTTTAATTTAACACATTAGAAGTCCCACATTGGATTAAGTCACTGTTCACAGCAGTGGATTTAGCGTCTGTGTTAACAGTATGCTTTAATTCTAGATCTAGTAGTGACCCAGGAAGCAAAGAGTTGGGGGCAGGACTATGGACAACTTTGAGGTAACTCCCTATTGGTTGCTTGAGACAGGGAAATTCAAACTGGTTTATAAGGCTTTGATATTGTCTTAATGCTGGGGTGCTGGAAGAACACCAGTAGTAAACAGCTTCAGATTTTTAGAGCTCATAGCACCTAGCACGTATAGTCAAATCTGAGAATTTGGCATGCTGATTGGGGACAGTTACCTGATTCTTTTAGTCAACTTTCATGAATGCATCTCAAGTGCACCAATCTACCATTAATGCGATAAAGTAGAAAGTATGTTTAAGCGCTGAACCTTTGATGAATATACCCAAATCTGACTTGAATTATATTAAATTCACACATCACAGTCCTTTTATCGTTGAACAAATTTGGAATGGATAATTTCATCAATAATATGATTTGATTTTCGAAAGCATGTGTTTGTCATAGTTAATTCAAAACTGTTGGGAAAACTGCCAAATAGGTTTAGAGCTGTGATCTATAAAAAATAAACTTAGTGTAGTCTAATCGAGCTTCTCTTTTTTTGCATTTTACTAGTGGGACAGATGGAAAAAAAAGATATTTTTTTCCTGTCCATCCTTACAGCCATGCTTTTACCGTGATCAGTTCAAGTTGCCATGGTGACTGTGCCCTGCTAAACCGCTTGCCCCTGCTCACAGCTATATATTTAAAACTGTTCTTTTCTCTGCTGCTGTCAGCTGTCATTTCAGTGTCAGATTAATGCAACCCTCCTCCACCCTATTCACCTCCAGTTTTCATCAGGACCAGTGTCCATGAATGCTTCCACTAAGCTCATCAGTAGTCCTGCAACACAATATATCCATCCTGATTTTTAGCATCAGTCTTCAATCTTGTTCCACTATCAACAGCTCAAGGCATCACCATCCTCTGGCTGATGATGGGATCTATGGCAATCTTGGCTTGAAAAAGAAAAAGCAAACTAGGCCACAGTTTAGTCTTATTTGACTACATCGTGTCATACATCCGAGTCCTTTCCTTTGCACGCAGCTTTAACTGGAACAAAGCTGGCAGTTAAGTTAAACTGCTTGGTCTAGATAATGTTTCTCATTATGCACTCAAGCTGCACAGCAAAGTGTGAGGCAGGATTTTTTTTTAATTATTGTTAATCAGCAGTTAGCATTATCTTTGGTACCTTTATTATAAGTTCTTCACTTATTAGCTAAATACCATTATCATATCTTTAACATACTCGCTGGGTACTGAAACGGAAAAAAATGAATATAACATTACATGTGCCAGAAAGAAGTGAAAAGTCCAATGCATAACTCTCTAATTGGGGTCTGGTTTGCCATGAGGGTGGAAGACCACCAGAAGGATGGAGCACAACTGGGGATAGAAGTACTAAATAGGAAGGAGCAGATGGTCTACTCTAGAGGACAGACACCCAAACACATGCAACAAACTGGACACCATAAAAGTTGAAAGTAGGTGCACATTTATGTGTGTGTGTGTGTGTGTGTGTGCGTGTGTGTGGTGTGGTGTATCTCTGTATGTGCATGTGTAGGTCTGTGTGTGTATTTTTGTTGTTTTTCAAGAATGAAAGTATTTTTATCCTGTTGAAAGTTTTCCCTCAGGGATTTTGTTTGTGTTCGTCGGTTGGATTACGTCTGTGTCAATCAACTGATCGATATAGTATATAATGTAGTAGGTAGTATGGATATATGTGGTATGTAATTATATAATTACTATAATATATTATATGTATATATATATATTTATATTATATATATTTACGTAGATATACACATTGTTACATGTAAACCTATATGGATGATGCATGTAAGTCATATCACATAATGTGTGTGTATGTCTTTGATAATGTATGTTCATTAATAATAATTGATAATCAAGGGTTTTGTTTCATTGCTTTATAGCAATAATAGAATGCTCTTTGTACTATTAAGAAGTGCTTTTTCCACATTTTGCTTGTTTATTATTTTCTTACATTTTCTTTAGGTTTTATCATTACTTTAGAGAAGTGCAGAATTAACAGCAACTTTTAATTTTCTCCATTTTCTCATAGGCATTCTAGTCACAAGAGAACCCTGATTGCAATGTTTCTCAGTGCAGCTGTAACTACATTTAGGGCTTTTGTTGTTGCCAATGACTGTCCCATTAGAAGACTGTTAGTGTAACACATAGATTTAAAAACTACCCAGCTGAATGACTGGGTTATGTTTGACAGGTAGCCAAGCAATAAATTGTGGAATTTACACAAACCTATAATTAGAGTCATTCAGTACTACAGAAGCTGGGTGTTAATGGGGTTGGTTCAGCTCCTGATAAATAATATGATCTGGAGACAATATTATGGATTAACCCTCTCGAGGCAGGCGTTGCCGATTTGCAACAGTTAAAAACTAACAACCTGATTACCCCACATACATATTTTATGAGTTTTCTTTACTCAGAAGTACCACTGCAGGTTGTGCATTAGCAAAAAAAAAAAAAAAAAAAATTGAGCCTTAGAGGGTTAAAGTGGTATATTCCATCTATGGCTTCAATAACACTTAAGAATTTTGCTATGTAAGAAATTTACTTTTTTTATTGTTGATTTTTTTCTGCTACATGTGAAGATGGTTTCTGTTTGCTTTAACACTGTATTCAGTCTACACACTGTGTGGGAGTGATTGAACATAATGGGCTGTTATGCAAATTAAAAAGGTCCAAATTGTAAGTGCATTGTGGATGTTTTTTTCTTGTATGATTTCAAATTGAGATGCTCTATAATTTTGATGATAATGGCTGTGAGCTTCATCTGCAAATAAAGTGAGTGCCAAATCTATAGCAGTGCGTGTGGGCAATAAGGTGAAGGACAGACATTGGTAACATTATATTGATGTTACGCAGCCCATTTACTGTTTTGCATTCAGAATTAGTGGACATTTTTATAATACATACAAGGATAGAATAATGAGTAAAAAGTATCAAGGCCAAAGGTATAATCATGACTTAAGGTTTGGAAAGGCAGGCAGTAGCTGTAAACACCTCCCTGGGTGGCAGAGCCTCTGCTTTTGAAAGAAAACAGACAAGTTAAGACCTCAGTCACACAGGCCTGGAGACCATTTACCAACCCCTGACAAATTCTGGACACTAAGAAGTGAAGACTAGAGAAACTTTACCAGTGTAAAGGTTGAATGCATGTAATGAGTGCTGTGAATTCATATATGAATATTTTTTTCAAAAATGGTTTATCAATTTTAGGCCAGTTTTTTCTTGGGTTTTTCTATTTTGCACACTGAAACCTGTGGCAATGTTTGAACATAGATACCTCCAAAAGTAAAACTAAAAGTCTGAAATTTTCACTGGTCTTTCTTACCATTAAAATTAATCAGGATCTGTAGTCTGGGAGAAATACATAAAAAATGTCAGAGCTGGTTTAACTTAAACATATATTTGTTTTCTTTGTTGTTGTACAACTTATCATACTTCCTCAATCCAGCATGAAAAACGGAAGAAAATAGCATTTTCTTCATTTTAAAGCAGTTATTGTAAGTGTTCAGATTTTCTGTCCTGAAATTTTTCTATGCAAAGTGGAGATGCCTGAACAGAAGGCCTTCTATGTGTGCACCACAGTCCAGACCAGAGTGTGCTAGGCTGATGTGACGCAATACAGAATAAATCAGGAATAGACAGTAGATAGATCTCTAGATCATCCTCATTATTCATGATCTTAACTACATCATTGGTCTATACTATTTAGGTTTAATCATGCTACTTGTTAAAAAATTAAGGAAGAACAAAAGATTTTGAACAAAATATTTTTAGTAAAAAGGGATTTTGCTTTTTACAGGCCAAATGTCTCTATCTTAGAGTCACTATATAATCCTTAGAAAATATATTATGTCCAAACCGTCACTGCAGTGTAGCATTCCTGATTGATTTTCTTGGGTCTGCATGCAATTGTCCTCTTATCCCTGTCTTTCTACAAGGCATTGCAACCTGTTGACACATGAGATTAAAATATATCCTTCATAATCCAATTTTCCTTGCTAACACCACAGCTTGTCTAATTCTGTATGAAACAGCTAAAACGTGTCTTGTATCAGTGGTGTGTAAAATTACCTTTGGGCTCTTTCTTGCAGCCCACTGACATTCTAAAGGAATGAAAACATGTTTCTCCAGTTGTGATAAGTATGAGGTTGCCATTTGGTCAGTGGTGGTGTCATGTCCTTTGTTTTGGTTTAACATATTTATATCTCACATTTGAGCAGAAGCAAAATATGAGAGAGCGATAACACCCAACATATTTATATCTCACATTTTGCGAGTGAGAAACATTTGTTGCTTAAGTACAATAATCTATTAAAGAAACATACATTCAGAGAAAATGTATTCTGAAAGTTTCTCTTTCTATGAACAAAAGTTCAACAAAACAAATTAATCATCATGTTCATTTATAACTGTGAAGTATTAAGTGTAAAGTTTAGCGTGTGCACAGGCTCACCAGTCGCTGCTGCTTTCTTCAACCCATATATGGCAACAGAGGGGGAGGGACTGTTCCCAAAAATGTGCACTCGCATGCGATACTCTATAACTTCAGATGACATGTCGTTATCTTTGTACCACAAGAAGCGGAGAAAGTCTCTGTGGCTCTCTTTGACAACAAAACAGTGGAACATATGTTCAATGTCCGCCGTTATGGCCACCTGCTCCTTTCTGAATCTTATGAGCACCCCAACAAGACTGTTGTTGAGGTCGGGGCCTGTTAGCAACACGTCGTTGAGAGAGACTCCTTCATATGGGGCGCTTGAGTCGAACACGACCCTAATTTTGGCGGTTTCTTTGGATGGTAAACTCCAAACAAAGGGAGTACCAGCATTCCTGGTTCTGACTGAGAGCTGGTGCCACTTCAGCATGTCCTCTGGTAAGCATGTTCTCCATAAACTCCAGAAGTGTGTTTTCATTTCAGGTCGTTTTTCAAGAGTGCACCGGAGTGACATAAGGCGATCGTAGGCCAGTTGTCTGTTGTTCGGGAGCCGTTGTCGTGGCGATCGAAAAGGCAGAGGACCAACCCAGCTATTGTCACTGCCCTGATAGAACTCTGAGTCCATTATTTGGAGAAACTGCATATCCTCAACTGATGGTGCAAGTCTGTGATCATCCGCTGTTCGTGTGAAAACCTGCTGACCAATGCTGTCCACATTACATCCTGACACAGGAAGGCTTGAGGGCCTGTGACTGCGCTCAGGAGCTTTGGTGAATGTCTCTTTAACAGTTATTTGACTGTTGCATGGCTGAAAATGGCTTGCACGGCCATTCTCCAGTATGAAAGTCTTATAGCTGTTCACGTGTGGGGGTCTGTGCACTCCATCGAGACAGACGTCACCTACCACGACCCAACCCATGTCGAGTCTCTGAGCAAATGGGGCGTCGTCTGGGCCGTTTATTTGCTCCCGGACTTTGTGGACTCGAAGCATGTCTCTTCCCAGCAGTAGTAGTATGTCGGCATTTGGGTCTAATGGCGGGATCAAGTTAGCGATCTGTCGTAGATGGGCGTGGTGTTGGGCAGCTTCTGGAGTTGGTATCTCAGAGCGGTTATCTGGAATGTCGTTACATTCGAGGAGTGTTGGCAGAGGAAGACTTGCCTTTCCATTCACTGACTCTACTATAAAGCCAGAAGCACTTCTTCCTGATACTCCTGTGAGTCCGGCACACGTCTTTAACATGTACGGGCGACTCTCTCCTTGGATCTGAAAAACATCAAAGAACTGGGAACGTGCCAGCGATCGATTGCTCTGATCGTCCAAGATTGCATACATTTTCTTTGTTTGCTCTCTGTGTCCAGCAGGGTATACATTCACTAGTGTGATTTTTGAACATTCTCTGGCGCTCACTCCTTCCCCACACACCTCAGTACACCGAGACGTGACTTCTTGGGTGTCTGCTTTGTCACTCTCCCCGCCTTGCTGTGGGGAAGGGGGCGATTTAGACTCCCATGGTGCTGGACCTGGGTGGAGGGCAGAAATGTGATTTTTGCTGTCACACTCAGTGCACGTGGTTTCTGATTCACAGTTCTTGGCTAAATGGTCAGTAGATGAGCAGCAGCGAAAGCAGACGTTTAATTTTTTGAGGATCTGTTTGCGCTCTTCCAAGGGTTTCTCTCTGAACCCTCTGCACCTTTTCAGAGGATGAGGCTTGCTGTGAATTGGGCACTGTTTATTTGGATTCACAGCATATTTGGATTTTTCTGCATCTGCCTTGTCCTGTACTTGAGTTTTGTGAACAGATATGGGCCCTTTGGGGAACCTTTCGTGCATGTGTTTTCGTTCTGGTGTTATGGGTTGGTTAGGGCTGTGAACGCTGAAGCTAGGGTCAGTTCGTGTTCTGGCTTCAGTGCGAATGAAGTTGACAAACACAGTAAAGGGGGGAAAGCTGACGCCATAATCGTGCTTGTACCTTGAACCAATATTCATCCACCTTTCTTGTAGACTGTACGGCAATTTTTCAACTATCGCTTGGATCCCTCTTGATGTGTCTAAGTAGGACAAGCCAGGTAAGTAACCATCCAACTTAGCTGTCTCTAGCTCTAACATTAGGTCGGCAAGATCACGGAGTTTATAAGGCTCTTTAAGTGTGATTTTAGGGAAGCTGTCGACCTTTTGAAAGAGAGCTTGCTCTACAGCTTCTGGGGAGCCATATATTTCTTCAAGTCTGTCCCAAGCCATAGCTAAACCAACTTCAGGGCATCTGATATTGACAGCTCTCATTTGTTTGGCTTGTTTAGCTGAATCTTTACCAAGGTAGCGCACCAGCAAATCCAGCTCTTCTCCTGGTGCTTT